TCCATCTGGATTAAAATGAAATTGCCATCCTCTGTGAGCTTGACAGCATCCGAAGCAGGAGAGAGTGGTGGAGCATTTCATTCATCAGTAAGTGTTGTCCTTCCCCTGACAGACCTGACAGAAGTCAACACAAGCAGGGAGGTTGTGCTGACTGCTGCACTGTTCAAGTGAGCTGGCTGTGGAACTCAGATGGTGTGAGAGAAATCACTTTTAGCACAAGAACAACTTTGGTATAAACAACTCAACACAAGATGGTAGGTTTTCTTTTCCTATGAGCAGATCGGCAAGTGGCAATCTTCCAGAAGGACAATGCGAGAACACACAGTGCTGGGATTACAATGGCATGACATTAAGAAAGAAACATGTCATCAAGGTCCTGCCCTGACTAGACTTTTCTTTTGCACCAAATACTTTCAACAGGAATAGTGACAGGTAGTCTATCCAGAGACTTATCAGCTCTATAGGTGAACGCATGAATGTGCCTAGGCTCAGGTAAGCCATGCTGTATCTGTTACGATCTTTATAATATTTCTATTTTGAAAGTTTAATGACCTTTTGATCCGTGTTTTTTGCTTGATTGACAAGTGTACCATAAAATACATAGATCTGACGGAACAAAGTAGTTTTACTTATGTGCATGTGCTTAATTTGTGCTTTCTACAAAATCTGGCATGTCTGGCACTCCCAGGCCAGGAACCACTGACCTAGAGGGCTCCAAATGTCATGCGGAAACTACAGCAAAGTGTATTAAAAACAGAAAACGGCAGACACGTTTTAAGCAAAGAGTTGTGGGAGTATGGAACAAGCTACCCAGCCATGGTGCTGAAGCCAGTGCCATTGAATGAGGCCCTCGGATCAATTAGCTATGAGTAACCAACTGAGCACGATGGGCTAAACACCCCTCTCTTGTTTGTAACCTTTCATGTGTTCTTATGTTTTAAGAATAAAACCTCAGCCCAGGATACAACAGCTTTTGCAAACAAACTGGCAGCTGTTCTGAAGAAGAGGGAAACTGTGCATCTCTTACCTTGACCTGAATTGTATATTGCTTTAACAGATTTCTTCACTTTCTGTAATGCTGTCCGGTCTTGATCTAAAGCCTAGGAAAACATAAGGGGAAGGAAAATATTAACTCATTTTAAAATTACAGATAAAATAGAACCACTTTGTGCTGTTTTCTCCCAATGAATTGAACATTATGATAAACAGCTACAGTACAAATCAGTTACCCATATCTCTTCCTGATTTATACAAACTGCAAAATGACATACAGTAACACAGAAAACATATGTACAGTATAAATACTGTTGTTTGATAACCGTAGAAAACCTGAGCCCTGAGTGTTTTCTCCTCTGAAAGGAAATTCTGTTTTCTTAATAAATAGCCTGCCAAAGGGTTTCAATATCCAGGCTTCAGTATTATATAATAAAAATGTAGTAACTCCTGAGTGATTTAAGAAAGTTAAAAGGCCAGATTTCTGTAAAGCAGTCGCTTTGATTGTAACCTCTCTTGGAAGGCTTATGAAAAAAGCACTCTCAATGACAGCTTCTTTGTCAAACAATAAATATTGAAGTATAGGCAAGAATAAAAAAAAAAATGCAGAAACAGATTTTTTCCTCAGAGGCAGTTTTCTATATATTTTTCTACCCCTAAACGTACAGTAGCTTTCATGACAGCACGTGCTGCAAAGATACCTTGATGTTAGCACTGTGCCTCTGCCAAACCAGTACACTTAACCCTTCCCTTTCTTCACTCGGATAGAGAAGTATAGAGTGTGTATTGTGTCAACTGGCCTATTCGTACAAATTTACAAATTTACTCCACTGAGTAAATTTAGTGCACAAGCTAACGGAAACATGGGGCACTTATCAACACAGCACAGACATTTTATTAAAGCACTGTATGCCTGTTCACAACAATGATTATTTCCTTCTGTTTTTGCCCTTAGTAGACACATTTATCATGTCGGGCACACTAGTCATACCCTCTGTTGAGCATGGCTGCTGTCAATGGAAACAGAGAGAATTTATTAAATGGCACATCAGGGCTGATGTACCAAAGTCAAATGTAGCACAGTTTCACCAATAACTAAACTGAATAGCCCCAAACGTTTGTGTTAGTGCACTTCAAGAATTTCAGTACAAAAAATGCCAGGTTCAATGTCATCCATATACCTTGGATTCTTTAGAATATAAAATTAAACTTCTTTGATATATTGCAAGTCTTAGAAAAGTAAATTAAATAAATCATCATAATTCTACAAGAAATCAGAGAGCCAGAGTCCAGGAGATGACTGTGCTGAATCTCTAACTCTTTACAGTGAAGGTACTATAAAACTGCATTTTCTTTCTTACTAAGCTTTATTCCTCTACTTCAAAAACATAATTGCAAAGTACTACTTCTACCAATGAATGTAGCCAGTTTGGCTTTGGGAGGAAGGAGGAAAGTGAGGCACCCATAAACAAAATCCATCTGCACACTTGAAATTCAAAGTGAATTTAACATTTTAGGAATGAAATTCTTATAAGAAAGCTTTTTTGATGGAGGAGGTGGTTCAGCTAACTGACATTCTATTAACTACAACTCTGGCCTGCATCCAAAAAAGCACACAGTATTTATTTCATGACCAGAAGTAGTATTTTACTCCCTGTACAAGCCTGTAACAATGCTGGGATGAGTGCCTGCTCTGCAATACAGTGAAAGGTCTCTTATTGTAGCCCTAGGTTTTGTCACTGTTACTCATGAGAAGTGACTGTAGTGTGTTTGCCTGGAGAGTAAGGTTTTATACGATGTTTGCAGTTTCTATTTGGCTACCCACTAATGATCACTAATGATGAGCACCAGCACCAGTGGTCTGAAGAAAATCATCTTTGCTTTTGAAGCATTGCATCTTTTTCCTTTTCTAATCAATAAAACATTTGAAAATACTCCCCCAGTTACCGGGACTTGATCATTTAAATTATTTAATTCAATTAAATTAATTTGCTCACTAAAGACTCTGTGATCACCACAGAGCTTAAAACCAGAAACACTCTGTGGTTTTTGAAGACCAGTCAGGAATCACTCTCAGCTGAGTTATTCTGTTCAGTAAATTTTCAACTCCTGGCCTTGACTTTTATTTGATCGATTCCCAACATCCAACTCTTTAAAAAAAATAAGTAAATTAAATCATTGATAAGCCTAAACAGAACTAGAAGTCTGGTGGCACGTGGATCTAATTAACTATCTAAACAAAAAAAATACTGATTATTACTGAGTTGCAATTTGTTCTTTCACTATCAAGATGCTTTTTACTGGAAGAGGTCTCATGCCTTATCCAGGAGCAGTCTGTTATAGGGACACACTGATACATCAACTAACCTAGTCATTTTTTCTACCTAATTTATCTATTTGACCTAATTTATCTTTTTAAGTCTCAAAGAACAAACTCTCTGTTCATGGAAAGATTGCAAAGCAGCAGATTAATAATGATATTTAATTTTCTGCATCTGCAGTATTGTTCTACATACAGTAACATGTGAAACAAAACAGACAAACTGTCACTGACATTATGTTATTACATTACATCAAATAATAAATAATTAACACTTCTTTAGTTGTTAGGAAAATGAACATTCTTTTTCGTAACAGGTGTTCTGTCATTCTAATGGCCAGGCAAAGCACAGGTAGAAGCTAGAGGAGAGTGTGCTACATGCTTTGCACCAGCTTACAGATGTTATTTGGGTGGATTCTGCCCCATGACCCAGAAAAGCTAACGGCCTAATCACTGGTCCCTGAGCAATAGATGCCACATTTCATCCCAGCTCATCCTCCAAGTGCTCAATGGTGCTCATGTCAGGTGAGCAGAATAGACACTCCGCATTTTCATCTCACAAATATGCTGGATTTTACACAAGCATACAAATTTCCAATGTCCTCATGGAATGGTGTTATTTCAGGATAAACCCACGCGAAAGGGACCCAAGCAATATCCCAGGAATTGACCAATTAAGTGCAGTTATGTTCCTATCAATTATTACAAGTTGAGTTTTGCAGAAGCTGCACTCTCCTGCCCAGACCGACATACTTGCACCTTCCTCCAGATTGCTCTGTTATGCATGCAAGCCGATATTGTTCTGCACAACTGTGCCACAATTTTGTGCATCTGCTGGATGATCTGCTCTAAAGTAGACATGGCTCCAATGTCGATGAAGCCACCTGGCATGGCTTATCCCAGCCTCCATCACACCCAGAGGACAAAGGTGTTGTTCTTTGGCAGCATGTTGGCCCCTTTCTGTGTTTCTGTGTTTATTTTCTTGATTTGTGCCAAATCAACTCTTTGTGTTGTTAATGCAACACACAGTGATTGTTGCTAATGCAACACAGTTAACTGAGTGCAAAAACATTTAACCAAAATTCAAAATCCATATGCTTGCCTTATTTTCTGAAAGATTCTTTTGATATATTGAAAACTCAGTATTTAAGGACTGATGAAGATGTCAGACTAGGATAAAGAAGACAAGACTGCTGATGTCAAGCTAAAAGAGAAGAGGAGTGATATTCTTATGCATATTAAAGTACAGCTGACATGACACAGCATATGTAGTAGTACTGTAAATACTGTGATAATACTATTAACAATCAAAATGGAATGTATTCGTTCAAGATTCTGAGTAATCTGGTTGGTATGTAATTGTTCAGAGAGTTAAACATGCAGCCAAATAGTACTATTAAACCACTAGTTTTAATGTTATTATATACATTTAAAATGATTACTAAAAAAACATTTTAAATGTATGTTTTAAATAATATTACAGTATTAAATGAGCTAGATGGATTTGCAAACATTTTATGTTCTGAGAATACAAGACAGTCATTTAACAAACCTTCTGCATTTTCGAATATATCAATCAACTACAGTATGCAATTTCAGCCAGAAAACACAATTCTGAAACTGTGCTAATATAACAAGTTGTGCCCACATGTGATAGAGGAAACCAACATTTTCACAGCTACGACAGAAACCAACATCTTTTCACAGGTACTATAATATATTGTTTATATTTTTAACAAAAAAAGATCTTTCTTATCTACTATCAGACTGCTAGATATTCTGGTTGTTACTTCCTTTGTTAATCTAGAAAATTAATTACTTTTTCCGCATAGAAAGAGAGAACAGTGCAGTTTCAGTGCAAAACTATTTTTTTTAATGAATCTATACCGTACTGTTAATAATTCTATTGCCATCATTACATGCAAGTGACCAAATAATATAAAATATAAAAAAATACACAGCCGACATCAACATGCTTAGCTTTCTGTCACTTAAAATTCACTCCAGTCTCTCCATGGTGCCATTGTAAGGAACTAAGGAGGTGAAAACATTCATTTGCAACGATGAACAAGAGCAATCAAGACCTCATGTCTGTGTGGGCCTGACCCCATCTGAGACACCAGAGTGCCAAGACACACAGAACTGTATTGTGAGTGGAAGAAGCAGGCAGAAGCATTGCTCGATTTTTGCACCTTTAACACTTGGTGAGTAACCGAATAAGCTGGCCTCACGGAGATGTATAGTTTTCTTTTCAATGGTTCTTCTATTGACGTTGGCGGCACTGTCAGTTTCACAAGTGAGCCTTCCAGCAGGAATCCCCTGACAAAGTATTGTGACATGACCATGCTTAAGATTAAAAAACAAAACAAAACTATAATCATTGGTGATTAAGTAATTTGGAAGACGAACAATTAAAAAACAGCTACAGGAAAGACGACAACTTGTAGTGTCTCAATGAATTACCCAGTGCCCATCGAACAATATCAAGAAACCATGGCCGGCTCACAGAAAACTGATTCATGCCCAGTGAAAGAGTTCTCTCATTCAAAACAGGACTCCAGCATGATTGTAAAGACAAGAGCTCATGTCTGAGCCTTGCATGCCTTTAGAAGGTGTTATTTCCATTCTGGTTTGATGATTGCAAGCGCTGTTTAAAAAGACATGCACTGTACTTTGTATAAATGCATGCAAGTAAATGAGGTTTGACACCACACATGACTTTCACAAAAATGATTGAGTTTCAGTTTCCCTATCCACTGTGCACAGAACACAAGCTGTCAAAACAAT